GTGGATATTTTACAAACCCTTGTAAATATTTTTTATACCATATATAAAAACGAGGATAGTAACAACTGTTGTCAAAAAACCTGATTTTACTTTCCCTTTTTATCTTCTATATTTTTCGTTTTCCTAATATTTAACTACCATAAAATCGTACCTAGTTCATCAAAGTGTGGCAAGTACAATGGTCGAACACCCTGATATACAATTCCAATATTGCCCCTAGAAAGTGGAAATGAGAGTGGGGCCAAATAGCAAATGCGTTTTTGTCCCATTCTCACCCCTGATATACAATTCCAATATATCCAAGTAAGATTCACCTCTCTGAAGTGTTGATTATGTATATGTTTGGCATCGAAGTTGAAGTTGCAGCTAATGTGTGGGTTGGAAGCACCGTTTTTTACCTTTTTTCTTTGGAATTATTGCTGCAAAGTAAGATGTTTCTTGGAGTAACAATAACTTTTTCTATTTGGTACCAATGCTCCAGGAAACATTTTCTGCATTTCTACCCATTATCCAATGCCACATCACTGGCCTGTTGGCAATAACAAGCTGCAGCTTCAGGAAATACCAAATTTGGCGTTGCTCCAAACCATGCCTTCCTGATTTCCAAGGCATGGCTTGGAGCACGTCTTCTATGGAAAAATTGTTACAAATAGATGATTGTTTCCCGGAGCACCGTTTTTTCCTATGTGACGCTGATGTGGTGCCATTGCTCCAGGAAAAGACAACGATGCCAAACAGCCGCTAAGTCAATTCCAATACAACTTTTCTCTCTTAATATTTTTTAAAATATGCCAACATTTAGTTACTTAATGAAACTGACTAGATATACCCAAACTCATATGAAACTACTTAATGTTACGTCCAATTGCCTGTCAATTCCTTGTAGGAGTTCATCATTTTTTTTTACTACTTTCTTTTTGCAAATTCCAAATAGTTTGAAACATTTCTTGCCCTAGTTCGTAGTAAAAAGGTGGCTCTGACTCCTCTTCTATTGGTCCAATGATATCATGCCAATTCATTTAAGTTAAGGTGATATATTCATCAAAATTAAAATTTATGGGGTTTTAGGCCGTGTTTGGGAGTGCTTAAAAATAAGTGCTTATTTGGGCCATTAAGCACTTGTTGGTATTTGAGAAATAAGCCCGAAACAAGTGCTTTTAAAAATAAGGGCTTATATTTTAAGCCCAAATTTTTAGTACTTTTATGAAAGTACTTTCAATTTTTAGTACTATCAATTTTTTTCTTCCAATATTATCCTAGTTGAATTTTATAAAAGTACTTTTATGAAATCACTTTTACGAAAACACTTTTATAAAAGTACTTTTATGAAACCACTTTTATAAAAGTACTTTTATGAAAGTATTTTTATGAAAGCACTTTTATGAAAGTACTTTTACGAAAGCATTTTTACAAAAGCACTTTTATGAAATCACTTTTAAAAAAGCACTTTTACAGAAATACTTTTGTAAAAGTAAGTGCTTTTATAAAAATACTTTCATAAAAGTGTTTTTATAAAAGTAATTTAATAAAAGTGCTTTCAAAGGGTATTTTGAAAATTTGAAAAAAATGAAGGACAAAATAGTCACAAATGCTTATTAGTGAAAAAGACTATGAAACACCCAATATAAAATAAGTGCTTATTTAAAAAAAAAAAACAAACACTTGAAAAAGTTGGGTGCCAAATGCAAACAAGTGCTTATTCCAATAAACACTCCCAATCATGGCCTTAGATTGGCCACTGACTCTTTTGGTACAACCCATATTTTATTTATGCAGTAAATGCTAAACCACAACTGGATGAATTGGCATGGGGTTAGAGAAGTTTCTCTCAAGGAACCGTTAGGTGTCCTTGAATGGGTGTTTATTCTCTAACATGCCCTCTCATGCAAAACTCCATTGGGTTTGAAGCATGGATAAGCACAAGCCCACCCATACCTTGTGCTTAAAATTTAATTAATTATAATAGGGGTGACAAGATTGAATACTAAACTACTTTGTCAAATAGGCTATGATGCCATCTCAAGGAATAGTTCAACTTAAAAACTTAAACCGTTAGGTGAAATCCCTAAATAAGTATTTATTCTCTATTGGAAAATCTTTCCTTTAAAAATAGTGTCCAATTATGACAAAGTTAAATCACATTAGGCTCAATTTGGAAAGAGTACAAATAGATACAAAATACAAAGTTTTGTACTCTATATATTTGTATTTCTACTCCTTCCAAACTCACACACTTTCCAAATTAAGCCTTCAGGCTCCATTTGCAAAGAGTACAAATACAAATATGTAAAGTGCAAAACCTTGTATTTTATATTATTTTGTATTTATTTGTACAGTACATGTTTGTATTTGTACTCCTTCCAAATGGAGCTTTAAGGACAAACCTCACCATTTCATTCCATTGGAGCTGAAGTTAATATACCTTTTTTTTAGAATCTTTGATGTTAACTAATTCAATTTAACCGTAGGATGTCTTCTGTTTTGTTGCTTTCAGAGGTGTTTTAAAAAATAATAGAGGAGCTGCTATTGGCCTATCGCTATTCTCTCTAAAATTTTTAATGTTCCTGTAACCTTATATGATCTCTTTTATTTTTGAAGTTAAAAAGACTATAGCACTAGCATAGCACACTATTTCAAATGCTAGTTTGAAGTGGCCTAGTGGCTAAAATATTTATGTTTCAAATAAATAACCTATGTTCAAATTCGTATAATATCTCAATTTTATACAATACTGGTTTTAAATATACTTAAGTGAAATTAATTGAATTAATTATGAGATGAAGATAATTAATGAAACTAATTAATGTTATAGGTGGTGTGCTAAATAAGGTTAGTTATGCTGTTATTGAGTAAATTATGACAAATGAATAGAAATTTTCATGGGTATCCTACCTGTTGCCATTCATAAATTAAATCGAATAGAAATTTTTTGGCACCTGACTAAGATTTGCACTGAAAATCAAACACAACCTAGAATTTTTATACGTACATGCATGTACAATGTTTTAAAAAATGACCTGGAACCCGAACCATTTTGGCCACCGGTTTTTGGGTCGATGGTTCGACCATTCAGTTTGAATGAATGGCCCGTTATGACAAAAAAAAAATAAAAAATTTAAAATAATAATTAAAATGAAAAAACGGCCAAGAACCATTGAACAAGTTGAATAGGTCAATGGTTTGACCGCCCAAGTCAATAAATCGTTGACCAAATTAACGGTATTTGACTAAAGACCGGGTTTGGGGTAAAATGGAACCGGATACCTGGACGGTTCTCGGGCCAAACAGTCCAACTGTCCAAATCAACAGAATTTCGAAAACCATATGCACGTATAGGTTAATTAATTTACATTATATATATATATATATATATATATATAAATTTGTTGTACTCTCCTTTAAATCGGGATTTAATTGCTGTAGCTTTTATATGATTTGTTTTCATGTATAGCTAATTGGATTGATTATATCAAAGTTATAAGAAAATATTTTGTTTCCTGTGACCGTGAGAGAGAGCTCGATATTTGTAGTGAAGCCGATAATTAAGCTAATAGGGCACACTATGTACTCTTTCTATATCATCCAATAAGATCCAATCTGGCATGACTATATATATATATATAGGTCGATAAGGAATATCTTCTAGGGGTATATTACACAACACCAGAAGCCTCCATTCATAACAGATGAGGTGTTCTAGTTTTTATTAAAAATATACAAGGAAAATTGGCAGCAGCAGAGTCCTCTCAAATGTTGGAATGGTGATGAAGTGGTATTTTCATGGCTTTAATTCATTCCCATCTAATTATCATGATATATATATATATATATATATATTGAATACCAAATTCAATCAGGACCAGACATTATATATATGTTTGGCATCAATGCTGTTAATGTGTGGGTTGGAGTACTATTTTCTAAGAAAATGGTGTCTTTATTTGGAGTCATTGCTGTTACGTAAGACATTTCCTAAAGAAACAACAACTTTTTTGTTTGGTATCAATGCTGCAGGAAACATTTTCAGCATTGGTACCTATTATCTAGTACCACACCACTGCCCCTAGCAACAACAAACTGTAGCTCCAGGAGGCACCAAATTTGACATTGCTCCAAAACTATACCTTCCTGATTTTAAGGGCATGACTTTGATACATACCGTTTTTTATATAAAAATGATTCCAAACAAATCCCTGTTTTCTGACATGGCACTGATGTGACACCCTTTCTGGAATGATGCCAAACAGACATTATCGTGGAAGGAATAGTAAAGACTAGTCCATGCTCACACCAACTCGATCGATCTTTTACTCTCATCAGTTCATTAGATGGGCATCGATCAAATCAGCCTTAGTTACTTACACCTATTGTCCCCCTACTTCTTGTATGGAAACAAACCGCGCGGTGGCCATTGCTTTAATTTTCCAATATATATCCATCTAAAATGTTGGTGAATGTAAACACTAACAGCAAACGTGCTCGTGCTGCTAGACTAGTGTCTCACAACAGATAAGTAATTTTTCTAATGATATCAAGTGATTATGAGTAAAAAGTAAAAATGTTAGTCTCGTAATTTCCATCTACAAAACTGCTTTTAATTTGTTGATAAGTAAATTCAAGTTGACTAAAAATTTATTACCGATGATACATACTAGCTAGCTAGGTTAGTGTGTGTTTTGATCTTGGCTTTGCACAAAAAGCGAGGATTGATTTACATATTATGTGGTTAGAAACTTTACTGACCCACATCGAATTAAAAGTTTGTTTAATTTGCACCACGTTATTGTCTGCTCCAACATAACCAAAAATTAAAAAAAAAAAAGAATGAATTCAGATTATGTAGAAAGGAATTAACGGGTCCAAATATAGAAGTAGAAAACGATGAATTTAGAGCCAAGTAGAGCTAAATTAACCAATTAGATGAATCCCATTCAATGATGAATGCTTATTTGAGACTACTCTCGGCTCCCCGGCCCCAATCCATTCAACAAAATTAAGGCTCACACCTTTTGCCGTGATCTATTCAAATGAGATGTGAGACGGATGAAGTCTACTTCTTTGCATGGAATTGTAAGGCCACCCAGTTGATGATCAAACCCAAACTTTTCCTCGGCCAGACTAAGAAGGTATTGGAAGGAAGGATGCTTCAAGTAGGATATGGGGACTACGAATCGCTTCTTTTCGTCCTCCCCAACATAAACAACAAAGTGGCCTTTCGGGACGTCGGATGCAATGGCCTCCTCAAATTGGCTCCTACTCAAGCTTTGAAGGAGCTGCTTAGCATGAACCATCCCAGGAAAATGAATACCCATCATCGATCTCCGTAACCCCAAGTATATAAATATATACTTAAGATAGAGGAACTGATGACAGAAACGGATAATCTCAAGCTTTAATTTGGTCAAACAAGCTAGGCAAACTCACAAGAGATTGATTGATCTTCAATTCGATCGATGATCCCAGTAGCTCAGAGGTGAGTGTGTGAACACACACATATATAGGAGGAGGAAGAGGAAATGGTACGAGGGGAATCGATCCTTTCAAATGGGGTGTGTTGACAGGAGACAATAATGTGGGTCTCTTGACCACGTGGTGTTGAGTTTGGATTTCAGGTTTGGTCGATGACGATGGAGACGACCGCAACCACTTGGGTGATCAGAACAGAACAAATTAATAGGACTGGGTTGTGGGCGGGCATCTTGGACGCTATAGAACCGGCCGCTCACAGATTTGAGAACAGGAATTGGGCAACTGTAATTCGAGGTTAAAATTGTTGACATCAATCAAGGCCTCTTCAAGGACGGAAAAGATGTTGAGATTCATTGTTCTTAGGCAGAGCGCAGAGGGATATGACCCAACTAACCCACCAACCTGTCCTTTGCGTTGTACCAGCTGTGTAGTAACCGGACTGCAAATGGCCAGTGCACTAGGAAACAGAGAATTATTATATTTCCAGTTTTCCACTTTGATGATGTTGCCATGCCCATGCATGTCTCAGACTGGCCCCCTACATCTACACATAATTTTACGTACAATCGAATTAAACTTGGGGAAGAAATACGATCGAGATTCATGCCCAAATGAACTTCAACTTCAGCTAATCATATCATCAGAATGGAATTAAGCCAAAACTGACCCTGCAGGAATTGGTTTAGGTTTCAGAATTAAGGTGCAATATAATTAATCCCTAATCTTAATTACCCTGATGATGAGCCAGAAAAAATAAAGAGCGGCCGGGTTGTGGGCTGGATCGAGAATTGGCATTCCTGGACTCCTGGAGTTGTAATTAGGGTAACTCCAGCAGGAACAAGACTGATAAATCCCATGCAACAAATTAAGTATCTGAAGATAATAATTAAGCGTAGACGATGCATGAAGAACAGTTGATGAGAGGAGGAGGAGAGCAGCAAGATCACATGAACGGGTAATAATCTTGTCTATGTACCGCAGAGTGGTCCAAATGGTTACAGTGGCATGGTCTCGATTTTGGTGTTTAGTTGCGCACACACTAAACACATAACAACAGCAGTACAATATGGCCATATCGCTCAACAGATAGGGGTAGAGTAGTCCGTAGCGTGACTGCGCGCTCCCCTCAGTGGCCATAGATAGAGCTAGGTTGGATGTGACCAACCACCAAATGAATCTCTCCACTCTCGCCTATATATATAGCTAGCCAGCATGATTATTAGATAGTTATTGATAACATTATGATAATTTTCTTATCTTCGATCGTCACTACCAATTCAAAACAACAATATTTCACCACATGGATGAATTGATAGAGCATTAATTAGAGAGAAGTTAATACTTGCATCAATTTGAAAATTATCCATCCTTGGATTACTTTTTCTTAATTAGAGAGAAGTTAATACCTGCATGCACCCCGGCCAGCCCCTTACATATATATGAATGGTAATGTACATATGGAGGAATTAATATATTTGTCATCATTTCTGATGGATTCTCCTATATATCAGCTGTCAGTCCAAGTAGATGTATTATGTGTACGGGTGCAAATGGACTACCTGATTCAAAGAATTTACACTGCATGCATGGCCACATGGGATGGGACGATTCTGTTCCTCAGCTGCAGCTGCAGCCTGCAGGTCAGTCCGACCCCTTCAAATTTTAATAATTTCCCAACCCGATCGAGACCGTTCAACTTGGACCCGATCGTGTGGATTCAGGTCATAAATTTTCATTTCTGTGGTAATAAGTAATAGAAAGTAAAATTGTCCCATGTCCGATCGTGTGGATTCAGGTCATAAATTTACAGGGTTAATATAATATATAAGACTGTTAACTGATTCACAGCTAGAGTTTGGATCTGCGTACATGTTTTTGCCATTGCCTACTACTTAATTATAACATTATCATTGTGTCCTCGATCAACACATTAATTCTACTCACTGCAATTGCATGTGTAAGCCTTTTCATTCAAACCATCAACAGTTAACACTTAAGTGCATGATATATATATATAGCAGTGATGAGGAAATTAAAGGTGGCACATAAGGTAATGTTTGTATCAGTTCCGGACTCATGCATATAAGAATTATTAGAATAGAAAGGAGAAAATTCAAGACTGGTCAAGATCAAATCAAAGATACTAGATGAAGATTAATGTAGAAAAGAAGAACTTTGTGTTTGGACCTTGAATGTATCATTGTTTAAACAAAGTAGAAATAAAAGATCAGCAGAAACAATGGATATATATATATATATATTAACATTTCTGTCATTTTATGATCAGCAGGATGAATAAATTAAAAACAATAACCAGCATCTTATTTGATAATCGAACGCCTCGTCTCCCTTGTTAAAAATGAAAGTTCTGGAAGAAAGGATATTGGGAATCTTTTAATTTGTCTCTGCTATATGTATTGTAATTTGTAAACAGCAAGGTCACCTTTAGATCTTTAGATAGCTGCTGAAAGTCAGATTGGACCATTCATCCCAGCAAATTGGACACTAAAAGAGAGAGAGAGAGAGAGAGAGAGAAAAGAAGCATCACTCAAGTGGAACAGGATGACACATGGAGTTGAATGCTGGCCAACCTTGGCACATATTCCCCCAGCTAGCTAGAGACAAGAGACTTAGAGAGTTGGCCGATCATACTCTCCTATCAATAATATCAAGTTGCGTGGACTGTGGAGGGGTTTATTCATTGCAGTCCATCATACTCTACCACCCATTCTAGCAAAATAACTAGGCAGAGCTGACTGATCGAATGATCATCCATCATCAAATGTATGACTGCTCATGCATTATCTATTCACCGAACGCAGCTAACTTATAATATATAACCTTTGTAGAACAGAGAATCTTCACTTCGACAAGAAAATTTGGCAAAGTTCATTGGCTTGTACTATTCTGAGGAAGCATCGATCTCATTTGTTAATTTAATCTTGACAAGAAGCTATGTCAAGGTTCATGCTTTGAGAGGGAGAGGTTGAATATTGTTATGTCCGGACTCCGGAATGCTTTGGACTTAGATATGAATCAGCTTTTATTTCTTCTTTTGACTTACCACCAAATTGGTTTGTCGCCTGGTGATTAGTTGGATGAGAGCCTTTTCAAAGTTACCCTGCACCACAGCAAGTAGTAATATTGTACCATTCCATGTGAATATGTGATGCATGTCAGCTTGACAAATACCGAAGAGAGCGTACGTGATGGTGATTTGAGCTCGGGGGCTCAGTAGATTGACAAGTTTAATGCAAGCGTTTGCCCAAACCATGCTTCTATAGCACGCTTTCTTATCTAATTAAAGCTAGGCGCGCTGCTGCAGCCTGATGCCATACACTCATTTGCCACCTAATCACACTTCAATTCAAATCCACATAATTCTTTGCCACGTGGAAAGTGGCTTCAGGTGACCGCCGCTTGACTTGGGTCGCTCCTTTTCATTTTTTTTTATTATAAAAAATCATGAAAAAAAGTGGATGTCTTTCTGCTGTTTTCTCTTCAGTTCACACAATAAATCGAACAGCATAGGCGGCACCAGAAGTACAACAATCTATATAGATTAACGGCTCCGATAACACTTTTTTTATTCGAAAAAGGAAATTTTGCCCTAGAATTAATGAAAAGACTAATTTAGACCTTAGATTAAAAGAAAAGGTCAATCATAACGCCCCATAATGTCATTTATAATTCGTTAAATAATAAATAAAATAAAAGAAAATACGGATGTGGTATGGTTAAATTCAAAAAACTATAAAATTGTAAATGGGTTCCACTGAATAAAATAAAAATATTTAATATATTTATATTTATATTATATATAAAAGTGTGGATGTAGAGTGAGTTTTTTTGGACTAAAATTACCTTTTATTTCATTGTTTAAGAAAGGGTATAAAAGTCATTTTACTGTAACTTTAAAGTTAGCTATTATGGCTATAAAATGCTCATATTTGTCTATTTAATCCATCTCTAAGGTTACGTTTGGTTTGAAGGAAAAAGGTAGGAAAAGAAAGGGAAAGATGGAAAAACCTATACAATGTTTGTAAATGTTTCCCTACCTTTCCCTGCATTTCCCTTCAAACCAAACATAGCCTAATTGTAAGGGTTGACAATGTAATTTCAATTATTACTTTCCACCTCATTTAATCCCCTACCATTAAGTCTTATAACTTAAGGTATTAACTCTCATTTTCTCTTATTAAATCCAATATTTAAGTTATTTTCACTAATAAATGCTATTAATTAGATCTATGTCAATGTTTTTAACAATATAAACCTGTATATTTTAAAATTGATTCAAAAACAAAATAATCATTTATCAAAGTGGTGGCTAAGCAATTCAACCATTTGAGTGTTAAACCCCCCTCTTCTAGCATATTCATTGTAAAAAAATATGCATCATCCAAGTTTTCAAACATCATTCCCAACCTTGATTCTTCTATTGTGTTGTATGCATCCTCATCATTTCCATCATCAAACACCAACTTACGTGCAACATGGCAATCAATATATGAAAGAATTTCATCTTCACTGCAAAGCCTACTACAATATTCATCTTGAGTACTCATTCTAAGAATTCTAAAAGGAGGAGGAAAATTATATCAGATGATAGAATTAATCAGGTATAGCTCAATAATATTACTAAATAGTAGTAATCAGGTAATCAAGCATTCAAATATTCATGGTTCTGTACTGATTATTGAAGGCTTAAAGAGATTAAGAATAATAGAATATTATATACTAGCTTTTCTTAGCCAAGTTTGAAGCCAAAAGAGCCCTATGACAATCCAAAAGTCACAATGTTCATGTTATCAATAAAAACAAGTTCACAAATTTGGCTAAA